CCGATTGGAAATTCCACACGATATTGTGCAAGCAAAAAAAAAAAAAAAAACAAGTGCGAGTGCACAAAAAGCTCTGGCCGTCTTGCATGAAAGTCTTGTATGAAATGATTCAGTTACTCGCTTGGTCGTGATTGTGAATTGACAGCCCCTACTCAATTGTTTTATGGGAAAAAATGAGGAAACAGAAACACCAAAAATCATCAATTACTACCCTTTACCCTTGACTACACGCAGACGCCTCCATATGATCGGTCACAAAAACAACTGCCAAAAAATAAAAATCCCTACCTCCCTACTCTATTTTCGAGCATACCTATGTTCCCCAATACCGATGTTCCCCAATACTGATGTTCCCCAAAATCACATATAGCCCATATATAACCCTAACCCTCGCCCAAACTCTAACCCTAACCCTAATCATAAGGATTTCGGGGAACATCGGGATTGGGAAACATCGTGTAGATCCCTTTTCGAATGCCATGTAATCGGAAGCAGATCTTTTTTGGGCCTCTCCTCCTACAAGCCATGGAGACTCGTAGACCTGACACAGGGCCAGAGGCAGGGGTGATGTATAGACACATGTGTGTAGAAGCCCCTAAGTTTCTAGTGCATTATATCCCACGTGACTTTTACATTTACCACATTTACTAAAGTGACTTGTAGAAGCTCAAGTTGCCAGAGCTTAACAATTGAACGCCTTTTGTTCATACTAGCCAGAACAGTTTGAAATCAGTATGGCTGAGACTTTCTGATGTGTATGCATAGTAACAGTAACAAAAAATAACCAGTCTTGTTAATTTGGTTTTCTTCAAATCTATAGGGTTTTTTGGGGGGAGGGCCGAATCTTTTCTGTGGACTTACTGAAATAGACCCCTCGAGGAAAGCAAAGCAACATCATGAACTTCAGCTGCAAGGCCCCCTTTAAGAATCCTAGATATATTCTACTCAGGGACCCGACCAAATTTCCCCAGGGGTTTAGAATGATATATACATGACTGTATATATTCATGGGATGATTGTAAGATCCGTTAAGCGGAACATGAACACACAAATACTCCATAACAAGCGACAATGCGGAGAACGGGAGCCCGTATAATGGGATTTCCCACTTTCTCGAGTATTTGAAGAGCAACGTTGAACTCAACCTAGGGCCTTTCGGAAGTTTCAGCTCACAGACGCGTTAGATTTCCTCGTCTCGGAAACACTGAATCACCATTCGACAGGCAGGAGACATGGCAAACAATAACAATTATGGGATTGTAAGTGGCTAGAATAGCAATACAGAAGGTACCTCTACTGATACCAAATACTTGGAGGACGAAGTATCTCTCGGCGATAGGCTGGAGTTCGAGCGCGGCAAGTACGCACACTAGGGTATATACGTCGGTGAACAAGAAATGATGGAAGACGCTGTCATCCACTTCGGTCAATTCGAAGGAGAGGCGGCATTCTCCAAAATGAAGACCTCAGGTAGTGTGTTCTCTGCCAGCCAAAAGCTTGAGGTACTAGCCGACACGATTGGTGAGATTCTCGGCAGTTCTGGAAGGGTGGGGATCAACAACTCAAGAGACCATGGCAGACAACATCTCAGTCCCCACGCCATCAGTGAAAAGAATTGAAAAAGCACCGAGACAAACCCCCGATTGATTACAACCTTCTTGGCAGCAACTGCGAGCACCACATGAATCTTTGTCGGTACGATTATCCCACCAGTGCGCAGATTACTGCAGCGGGAATGGCAGTGCTGAAGTATATCCTTGCAATCGGAGTAGTCATAGTTAAGTACCAAAAGTTAGCTAATTGACACACGTGCAATGGTACATTAATTGAAAACAAGACAAAAAGGCCTAGAAAAGCCCAGCTCAGAGCGCACACTTCTGAATTATTTTTCTGCAAGAATGTTTTTTTTTTGTAGCCGGGGTGGGGCATTGGGGGGGGGGGGGGGGGGTTAGATCCCCTACATCCCCCGCAGAGCAACCACTGGATATTAGTAATTTGTACTATTGAGGTTAAGGGGGTAGCAGGCATGTCTTCAACTAGTGTTTAATACATAAAAAGGGGGCAGGGTTGGACCTCATAAACAAACCCCCATCATTCCCACTATAGATCCGCAGCGGCTTTAGGCTGGAAGTCCTTCATGCATCTGTTCTACACAAGGGATAAGTTACTATTTCATTCATTGACGTCACGGAGTAATAATCGTATAGGATAGCCGGCCCGGCTTTCTACGTTGGCCTATAACCAGTCCACACTCTAACAACTCTTGGGTCAGATTAACCCGGAATCTGAATCCACTTTTGCTCACTCCTTTTCAAGTTCAAAAATGGCATTTTCTAGGTCGTTTTGACACAGAAAGGGATCATATTTGACCCAGAAAAGGACTGACACTAAATTCGCAGTCAGTTTTCAATAACTAGAAAAACCAGTCAGTATTTTGACAGTTGCTTTTATAGTGTATAGCTATAACCAGTCTACACTCATATGAGATTTAAAGGTTTGCATGCTTGGTGAAGGGTAATAATAAGGTAAGTTGTTGCGGTAGCACCATGTGGCAAAATCTCTTTTGTGAGTATGTGTGGTTCTGAAAAGAACCGGAGGGCACTCAATGTTTCGTCAGTCTCCGTCGTCAGTCTCCTGACGACAGGCAGAGTATACTGTCCGAAACGAGTACCCTCCGGTTCTTTTCACAAAAGAGATTTTGCCACATGGTACCGCAACAACTTGCTTTATCAGTCTACACTCTAAAAACTCCTGGGTCACATTGACCTGGAATCTGAATCCAAAATGTGCTCAGTCCTTTTCCGGGTCACAAATGATCCCTTTGGGGTCTAAAATGGCATTTGTTTTGGTAGGTCATTTTGACCCATAAAGTAGCATCTTTTAATTTGAATTCCAATCCAGGAGTGTAATAGTGAGTCAGGTAGTAAGTCAATGACGTAGGTGCAAAGATCAATAGGCAATATCCGCTTCCTTCACAAGTACCCCCTCACCGGCAAAGAAAGCAAAGTTGGGGTGACCAAACGAAGCCATCTTGCCTGACTGCAATATTTTGCCGCAAAGCGCGGCCACTGCGTGTACATAGTACAAATCCCCTGGTGTACATGCATCACAAACGATGAATGGTGCACGTTCGTCAACCAGCGAAATGCATGTGCCCCATCCATGGGACATCGTTGCTAGGTAAAAGGGCGCTCACTTTTGTTTGCGCAAGGAGCCCATAGGCGGGCCCTCTAGCCTGAGCAAAATATCACTAGTCGACGTGCCAGGCGGAAATTTGGCTCCAAAACTGTTTGTTGATTGAAATAGTTGGTCTTAAAGCCGTATACAATATACTTACTGCTGAATTATATAATTTGGATAAATTTTGTAAATAATGACCTTTGGCCCACAATTTCAGGTAGGCACCTAGTAGTTAAACGCAAGAGAAATTGCATTGTAAACGTAGGCAAGATTTACCACGAAAATGTTTAATATGCAAACCTTTATTTTTTCTCTTCCCATAATACACGAGAGCTACAGTGAGCAAACGCTTGCGAAAAGTTAATTCATGACTTCAGATCCATATTAAATTTGGAGTGCAAAAACCCTAATTTTTCAAATTATGATTGCCTGAGTTTTCAAAAGTTGCAAAAATGCGACGAATGTACGTGTAATATTTTTTTTTATAGTTTATGGTTCAGCTGCAATGATATCCGTACAGTCTTGTTACATTCATTGGAAGTACTCGGTGCAATAGTAACAACACTTATCAAGTTCCAATGACTTTGCCGGATTCTTCCCCGAAGCAGGTCTGAATTTAAATATCAACGTAATATTTTTTTTTGTACTTAAAGGGACTCAACATTCTACAGTCGTTCCTTTCTAACAAAAAAATAAACCCAAAACACATATGAGTCCGTCATGTGATAAGTGCAAACGCGGAGACTGCAGTAAACAAGTCATACTTCCTTAAAAAGCAAACGTGTTGAATTAGAACTCGATGCCTTTTAGCGACACCTGTACAACAGCTCACAAAAATGTTTTCATTCCAATATCAACGTAATATTTTTTTTACTTAAAGGGACTCAACAATCTACAGTCGTTCCTTTCTAGCAAAAAAATAAACCCCAAACACATACGAGTCCGTCATGTGATAAGTGCAAACGCGGAGACTGCAGTAAACAAGTCATACTTCCTTAAAGCAAACGTGTTGAATAGGAACTCGATGCCTTTTAGAGACCCTTGTACACCAGCTCACAAAAATGTTTTTGTCGCATGAATCACGAATGGCGTATAAATGAACTTGAGGTCGAGTACATTTATTTTTAGCATTTTCATTGTGTCCGTGTGCGTATGGTGCGCACAATAGAGCCTCTGCCGATTGCAAATGGTGAGGAATTCCATTTTGATGCTTGTGCAAGAAAGAAAAAATAGCACACGCTTTGTCGATAGCCAGAAAAGTTTCGAATCAGTCAGTGTGGGGGAGACTTTGTGCACGCGAATTAACAATAATCAAATAACCAATCGTGTTTGTTTTCTTTTCTTCAGAACTAAGGAGAGTTAGGACAATTCTTTTCCGTCGCACTTGGAAATGAACACGAGTTCCGTTTCGTTCAGTTTCATTATTTCAATGAGCGTGTTCCAAATCCCCAATTTATAGAATCACATCTCATCCACCCATCCCCTTGAAAGCCAATACGTGAACTCAGCTGCAAGGTAATCCCCTAACAAAGAGCACCCCTTGAAAAACCCACTACTCAAGTTTATATTGCATGTGAATGATGTGATGATTGTAAAATCCGTTACGGAACATGGAGGGGTTCCCGCCACACACAGGTACTCCACAACGAGCGACAATGCAGAGACGGGAGCCAGTCTAGTGGGATTTCCCACTTTCTCGAGTATTTAAAGAGCAACGTTGAACTCAACTTTAGACCTTTTGGAAGTTTCATTTGATCAGCTCAATGCGTTAGATTTCCTTGTCTTGGAAACACCGAACCACCATTTAGCAGGCAGGAGACATGGCAAGCAACAACAACTATGGGATTGAGGGTAAATGGTATACCTCTGCGGATATTAAAGACTTGGAGGACGAGGTATCTCTCGGTGATAGGGTGGAGTTCGACCGCGGCGGTGTGTGCGCACACTGGGGTATTTTCGTCGGTCCGTACCAAGATATGCGACACGCTGTCATCCACTTCGGTATATTCGAAGGAGGGTCGGAATTCGTCAAAAAGAAGGCAATAGGAATTCCGCATGCTGCCAGTAAAAAGCCCGAGATACTCGCTGATACGATTGGAAAGATTCTCGGTGGTTCTGGCAGGGTGAGGATCAACAACTCAAGAGACTATAAAGAAAAGCCTTTGGATCCCGGCGACATCATTGAAATAGCAAAGACAATGCACCGAGACCAAACGCCGATCGACTACAACCTTGTCCACAGTAACTGCGAGCACTTCGTGAACATCTGTCGATACAATGATCCCCACAGTGATCAGATCACAGCATTGCAGACGGCTGGGTACTTATTAACGCTTGCCATTGGTGCTATCGGTGCAGTAATAGGCCTAGGTTAGTATAAATAGTACGCATTTACTGTGACTAGGGAGCATAAAAGGGAAGAGGAAATGTGTCTCTTGATCGACGCTGTAACGATAGCTGTTAAACTATAATAACAACAAATTGGAGAACAAAAAGAATAACTGAACCGTCGAAGCAGGAATGCCACGTTAGCTGAGCAATAGTATTACTGCAGTCGTCTAGCGAGGTCGTTTTAATTGGAGCGTGGTAATTGGGTGAAAAGGGGCACTCGGCATCTCTGCTGACTGGTACACAGGGTTTTTAATTGGCCCTCTGGAAAGAAGACGGGGAGGACATCATCTTCGTATGGGGGCGCTGCATGCTCGAAGTGGACACTATCGGACAATAAGTGGCACTATTCATGGCGGTACAACATCACAATGAGCACATTCGCGCGACGTTAGAAAAGGGTAACACATCTTTTCTTTTCTTTTCTATTTTAATACTTGGGGGGGGGTGGAGTGGGGTTAGACCCCCTGCATTCAAAACGCTAAAAGTGAAAGACCATGGAGATGCACAATGAAATGTGAATCGTTTTAGCTATTTTCAGCAATCTCTACTCATTTTCTTTTAATTCTACAGTTGTCACCTACGCAATTTCTCGTCGCAGAAATGAACGAAGATAATCCTGTCATTTCAACAGCTTTTCGTGGATCACCAGCAGTTGCCAAAGAACCTCACAGGGGATGGAGCGACGAATCAGCGAACAGCAGCACTCAGATTTATTTGCCGGTGGTTTGACATGAATTGAAGGTTGGTGCCGTAAGGATGATAACCAAAACAATAATACATAAAAAAGCACACTATTGCTGCTGTACTATGATGTACTATAAAGGACACCTATCTGTTATCGTCGTGCCTTGGGGGAGCTCCGTCGTGCCTGTGAGCAGGTCCGTTTCGTGTTTGTGAGCAGAGCGTCGTGCGTGTGAGTAAAACCGTCGTGCCTGTGAGCAGGTCCGTCGTGTTTGTGAGCAGACCGTCGTGCGTGTGAGTAAAACCGTCGTGCCTGTGAGCAGGTCCGTTTCGTGTTTGTGAGCAGAGCGTCGTGCGTGTGAGTAAAACCGTCGTACCTGTGAGCAGGTCCGTCGTGTTTGTGAGCAGACCGTCGTGCGTGTGAGTAAAACCGTCGTGCCTGTGAGCAGGTCCGTTTCGTGTTTGTGAGCAGAGCGTCGTGCGTGTGAGTAAAACCGTCGTGCCTGTGAGCAGGTCCGTTTCGTGTTTGTGAGCAGACCGTCGTGCGTGTGAGTAAAACCGTCGTGCCTGTGAGCAGGTCCGTCGTGTTTGTGAGCAGAGCGTCGTGCGTGTGAGTAAAACCGTCGTGCCTGTGAGCAGGTCCGTTTCGTGTTTGTGAGCAGAGCGTCGTGCGTGTGAGTAAAACCGTCGTGCCTGTGAGCAGGTCCGTCGTGTTTGTGAGCAGACCGTCGTGCGTGTGAGTAAAACCGTCGTGCCTGTGAGCAGGTCCGTTTCGTGTTTGTGAGCAGAGCGTCGTGCGTGTGAGTAAAACCGTCGTACCTGTGAGCAGGTCCGTCGTGTTTGTGAGCAGACCGTCGTGCGTGTGAGTAAAACCGTCGTGCCTGTGAGCAGGTCCGTTTCGTGTTTGTGAGCAGAGCGTCGTGCGTGTGAGTAAAACCGTCGTAGCTGTGAGCAGGTCCGTCGTGTTTGTGAGCAGACCGTCGTGCGTGTGAGTAAAACCGTCGTGCCTGTGAGCAGGTCCGTTTCGTGTTTGTGAGCAGAGCGTCGTGCGTGTGAGTAAAACCGTCGTGCCTGTGAGCAGGTCCGTTTCGTGTTTGTGAGCAGACCGTCGTGCGTGTGAGTAAAACCGTCGTGCCTGTGAGCAGGTCCGTCGTGTTTGTGAGCAGAGCGTCGTGCGTGTGAGTAAAACCGTCGTGCCCGTGAGCAGGTCCGTCGTGTTTGTGGAGAGGTCCGTCGTGTTTGTGAGCAGAACGTCGTGCCTGTGAGTAAATCCGTCGTGCCTGTGAGCAGTCCGTCGTGCGTGTGGGGAGGTCCGTTGTGTTTGTGGGTAAAACCGTCGTGCCTGTGAGTAAAGGCGTCGTGCCTGTGAGTAAAACCGTCGTGTTTGTGAGTAAAACCGTCGAGCGTGTGAGTAAAGCCGTCGTGCCTGTGAGTAAAGCCGTCGTGCCTGTCAGTAAAACCGTCGTGCCTTTGAGTAAAACCGTTGTGCCTGTGAGTAAAACCGTCGTGTTTGTGAGTAAAACCGTCGTGCCAGTGAGCAGGTCCGTCGTGTTTGTGGAGAGGTCCGTCGTGTTTGTGAGCAGAACGTCGTGCCTGTGAGTAAATCCGTCGTGCCTGTGAGCAGTCCGTCGTGCGTGTGGGGAGGTCCGTCGTGTTTGTGAGTAAAGCCGTCGTGCCTGTGAGTAAAGGCGTCGTGCCTGTGAGTAAAACCGTCGTGTTTGTGAGTAAAACCGTCGAGCGTGTGAGTAAAGCCGTCGTGCCTGTGAGTAAAGCCGTCGTGCCTGTCAGTAAAACCGTCGTGCCTTTTAGTAAAACCGTTGTACCTGTGAGTAAAACCGTCGTGTTTGTGAGTAAAACCGTCGTGCGTGTGAGTAAAACCGTCGTGCCCGTGAGCAGGTCCGTCGTGTTTGTGGAGAGGTCCGTCGTGTTTGTGAGCAGAACGTCGTGCCTGTGAGTAAATCCGTCGTGCCTGTGAGCAGTCCGTCGTGCGTGTGGGGAGGTCCGTCGTGTTTGTGAGTAAAACCGTCGTGCCTGTGAGTAAAGGCGTCGTGCCTGTGAGTAAAACCGTCGTGTTTGTGAGTAAAACCGTCGAGCGTGTGAGTAAAGCCGTCGTGCCTGTGAGTAAAGCCGTCGTGCCTGTCAGTAAAACCGTCGTGCCTTTGAGTAAAACCGTCGTGCCTTTTAGTAAAACCGTCGTGTTTGTGAGTAAAACCGTCGAGCGTGTGAGTAAAGCCGTCGTGCCTGTGAGTAAAGCCGTCGTGCCTGTCAGTAAAACCGTCGTGCCTTTGAGTAAAACCGTCGTGCCTGTGAGTAAAGCCGTCGTGTTTGTGAGTAAAACCGTCGTGCCTGTGAGTAAAACCGTCGTGCCTGTGAGTAAAACCGTCGTGTTTGTGAGAAAATCCGTCGTGCGCGTGTGTAAAGCCGTCGTGCCTATGAGGCGCCATGTGTAAATTTAACAAAGTGATTGATATATAATTCATTATTTATTATATAATTCAGTTTTCTGGACAATTATATGTAAATAAATGTTGGGCAGTTTGCATTACATGTAAATACATTTACTTGCCACTGCATTATTTATATATATATATTTGGATGCCAATAATGACACAAGCCGGAAGCCCTTCATAAAATACTTTTCAGTGGAAAAAAAACCCAAATTTTCATTCCAAAAGTCAAAACAAGTCAAAACTTTTAAATTGCCAACGCTTTTATTCAACTGTTAACTTCATGTTTTTCGATACACCGCTCTAGGTATGTTGTGGGTATGTCCCATTCGCGAGTAGTCGTAAGCAAAGTTCCTCATAATTATGAAAATTGGCGGGTGCGTGGCGCGTCTTGGGCGATGTGGGGAGATTGCGGCGGGATAGTGTGAAAGTAGGATTCAAAACACGGGCTCATTGGTTGTATTGCGCATAACTATGCCTAAATTAGCGAAGAGTGTGAGCGTTAAACCAATAAAACAGTAAAAGGGACAAAACGTCGTAGGGGTCCAAATTTCATGTGGCAGTAGAAAAGTGTTTAAGACTGGCCACGTGACGGGCTCTCGGCCAATACAAATGATAAACTGTCTTAGGTATTTACAAGTCACAGTGATTCAGTGAGCCAGTGAGATAGACAGAAAGATGAAAACATGCGCGCCCTCTGCAGGACCGGCAACACGTCGCACGGCAAAAGACGGACATTTGGGGATCAACATAATCCGTGCTATGTGGGTCTAGATTCGAAAATCTAGAAAAGCATGCAAAGATCACCAGTAAGATGTGAAACGTTCGAGCAATGTTCTAGCAATGCGTTTTGATTTTGTTTTACAGCTGCCGTCATGGATATGTGGTGCATCACTCAACACAGATAACCTTGTCATTTCAACTACTTCTCGTGGAATACTGCAGTTGAGCTGGTAAGCAGAGTGCCACGGGGAACGACCCACCGAACTATAAGCGAACACCGGACACTATTTATTTGCCAGTGGGCTAACATTGAGGGGCAGAGTGGTGTCGTTAGGATTCATGTAGGGCCTTTCACAAGATTAAGAACTAGTAAATGCAGTAGATTAAAAAGCACAATTACATTGAAGTGATAAAAGGAAACTCGTCAATTCAGAGATGAAAGGTCACAATCTTGACAATTGAGCATTCAGATTCATTTTGCAAATAGGGGCAAAACGTTAAAACAAAAAGTACCAATACATTATAACTAGAGTGAGAAGTGCTAAAGTGTCACAATTGCAACAAATCCATTCTTGCCAAACCTTCTTGGGTCTTATTCTGTTGCCTAGTGCTTCAGTGAGACAAGAAGAGGGCAGAGAGCGGACTTAGCCTCTTGCTAAAAATAAACTTTCCGGACATGTATGCGTTTTTGATTGTGGTGCTTTGTATATATTTGTATATAATGTGTATATCCATATATTTGTATATGATGTGTCTATCCATTGGACAAAATATATCGTCAAAGTTAAACTTTTTAAAATTTAAAGTGATTTTTTTTAATACTAACATTGTATATTTGTTTTCTTTACAACAGAAGGTCACGTTAATCTGAGATGTTAATTTAGGCACACAGTTTTCAATTTAGGGTTTTTCAGTTCAAAAATACTTATTGAGAACATTATTTTGTGTATAGAAATTGCTCGATGAATTGCTGTCACTGAAGCTACAGTAAACCATTTAAAACAATAACCAATTACCAATAAAAGAATCGGAAATTCCGGCATCATATGAAGTTCAGCCTGGAATGACGTCACAGTTGTGGAACATGAATATTCATGTCGATTAGTGTTAAAACTATCTAGACATGCAAACACCCTTTTCTTTGGCAATATGAATATTCAAAAAAACGTTTAATGACATGCAGAGTCAAAATGTAAATACAACATTACCTTTTTAATTTATTTTATCTGTTTATAACAAGTAAACAAAATTACACTGGGAAAATGCGATGTGGCGAAAAGTTATGTTGCTGGCTAATATCAATTGTATCTAGCTCAAGAATTGTGTGTAAATATTGGCTTTATTGTACAAAATATTTGTGCAAGATATTTTCTGTGAAAGTTGTAACTTTAAGTGTGGTTTATAGTTTTGTTTGCAGTTTAACAAAGAGCATGTTTAAAATCAGAATAATTGTGTTTTCTTCAGAAAGAACTTGAGTTTTTGAAGATTTTTTCTGATTTTTTTTAAAAATAAACCACTGTGTTCTTTTTACCTTTATACATGTAATTCAATACACACAATTTTGTAATTCACATGTAATTCAAAACACACAAGTGTCATGTTTTTGGTGGTTTTACAAATCCAGAATGTGGATTGTTCTGGCTGAAATAAGTTGTTTGTTTATTTTATGTTTATTTATTTATTATTGATTTATTATATTTTGTATTGATTTATTCTATTTTATTGTTAGTACATTGCAGCCACCAATGACCAAATGCTTACGATGAGCTAACTAATGACTCCAGACCCATATTACACTTGTGCAAAAAAACCCTGATCTTTGCATATTATGATTGCCTGAGTTCAAACAAGTTGCAGAAATGCACTAAACAGGTAACGACGAATATGCGCGTCTAATTGTTTTCAAAGTTCATGATTCATACTGGATACTGGATTATTCCTCTTCGCAGACTTAAAATTAAAACTCATTTAAGTAATTGAATTTATTCTTCAAAAAAGGATCTGTAATCTACTGTCTTTCCTTTTTAAAGAACCATAACCGTCTGTCACGTGATGAGTGTAAACACGGAGACTGCAGTAAACAAGTCATACTCCTACAAAGCAAACATGATGAATCAGGAACTCGATGCTCTTTAGCGACCCTTGTACTGCGGCTTTCTGCAACTCTGATTAAAAAAAACCTGCATTGTAAAAGAAACTTCATTGCCGTATGAATGGCGTAAGTGAACTTGAGGTCAAGAGGCAGAGTGGTGTCGTTAGGATTCATTTAGGGCCTTTCACAAGATTAAGAACTAGTAAATGCAGTACATTAAAACGCACAATAACATTGAAGTGATAAAAAGGCAACTCGTCAATTCAGAGATGAAAGGTCACAGTCTTGACAATTGAGCATTCAGATTCATTTTGCAAATAAGGGCAAATCGTTAAAAAAAAAAGTACCAATACATTATAACAAGAGTGAGAAGTGCTAAAGTGTCACAAATGCAACAAATCCATTCTTGCCAAACCTTCTTGGGTCTTATTCTGTTGCCTAGTGCTTCAGTGTGACAAGAAGAGGGCGGAGTTCGGACTTAGCCTCTTGCTAAAAATAAACTTTCCGGACATGCATCCATTTTTGATTGCGGTGCTGTGTATATATTTGTACATAATGTGTATATCCATATATTTGTATATGATGTGTCTATCCATTGGATAAAATATATCGCCAAAGTTGAACTTTTTAAAATTTAAAGTGATTTTTTTAATACTAAAATTGTATCATTTGTTTTCTTTACAGCAGAAGGCCAAGTTAATCTGAGATGTCAATTTAGGCACACAGTTTTCAATTTAGGGTTTTTCAGCTCAGAAATACTTATTGAGAACATAATTTTGTGTATAGAAATTGCTCAAAGAATTGCTGTCACTGAAGCTACAGTAAATCATTTAAAACAATACCAATTACCAGTAAAAGAATCGGAAATTCCGACATCATGTGAAGTTCAGCCTGGAATGACACCACAGTTTTGGAACATGAATATTCATGTCGACTAGTGTTAAAACTATCAAGACATGCAAACACCCTTGTCTTTGGCAAATGAATATTAAAAAAATCCTTTAATGACATGCAGAGTCAAAATGTAAATACAACATACCTTCTTAATTTGTTTTATCTGTTTATAACAAGTAAACAAAATTACACTGAGAAAATGCGATGTGGCGAAAAGTTATGTTGCTGGCTAATATCAATTGTATCTAGCTCAAGAATTGTGTGTAAATATTGGCTTTGTTGTACACAATATTTGTGCAAGATATTTTCTGTTAAAGTCGTAGCTTTTAGTGTGGTTTATAGTTTTGTTTGCAGTTTAACAAAGAGCGTGTTTAAAATCAGAATAATTGTGTTTTCTTCAGAAAGAACTTGAGTTTTTGAAGATTTTTTTCTGATTTTTTTTAAAATGAGCCAGTGTGTTCTTTTTAACTTTGCACATGTAATTCAATACACACAATTTTGTAATTCACGTGTAATTTAAAACACACAAGTGTCATGTTTTTGGTGGTTTTAAAAATCCAGAATGTGGATTGTTTTGGCTGAAATAAGTTGTTTGTTTATTTTATGTTTATTTATTTATTATTGATTTATTCTATTTTGTAGTGATTTATTCTGTTTTATTGTTAGTACACTACAGCCACCAATGACCAAATGCTTACGATGAGCTAACTAATGACTCCAGACCCATATAACACTTGTGCAAAAAAACCCTAATCTTTGCATATTATGATTGCCTGAGTTCACAAAAGTTGCAGAAATGCACTAAACAGGTAACGACGAATATGCGCGTCTAATTATTTTCAAAGTTCATGATTCATATTGGATACTGGATTATTCCTCTTCGCAGACTTAAAATTAAAACTCATTTAATTAATTAAATTCTTTCTTCAAAAAGGATCAGTAATCTACTGTCTTTCCTTTTTAAAGAACCATAACCATCCGTCACGTGATGAGTGTAAATTAACACGGAGACTTCAGTAAACAAGTCATACTTCTACAAAGCAAACATGATGAATAGGAACTCGATGCTTTTTAGCGACCCTTGTACTGCGGCTTTCTGAAACTCTGATTAAAAAAAAAACCTGCATGGTAAAAGAAACGTCATGGCCGCATGAATGGCGTAAGTGAAATTGAGGTCAAGTAAGCCTACGTTAATTTTTAGCACTTGGTTGTGTCTGTGTTTACATCATGCCGCGCACTATCCGCGTTGCACATGATGTATGTGCAAGCAAGGTAAAAATAGCACGCCTTTGTTGATAGCCAGAAACTTTAAAATCCGTAGGTGAAATTTTACGAATGCAAATTTAGTCAAATATAAGTAACCAGTTGTGTTTCAGAACAAAATGAGTTAGGAGAGTTAGGGAGAGCAGGCGCGGAACCAGAGGAGGGTTTGGGGTGTCGGACTCACGCCCCCCCCCCCCCCCCCCACCACCACCACCACCACTTCTGCTCTAGCGCTCTGACACCAAGTAAAAAGATATTACAATCAGTGGATCAGTAACAATGTGCCGCACTACATATATGTCCGCCTGTCCAAGACAATTGGACATAAGCAAAAATCTGACGGGCCTGACACCGCCCCCCCCCCCCCCCTCCGCAACAATATATGAATGGCATACGCTAAATGAACTTGAGGTCATGTCATTGTTAACGTTTGGTTGTAGCAGTCTGTGTACATTATGTTGCGCACAATAGGGCCTATGCCAATTTCACATGGTGGGGAATTCCACACGATGTCGATCGTGCCAGCAAAAAAAAACAGGACGCCTTTTGTCGATTGCCGCAGTTTGAAATCGGTTTTGGGGTTCTGAAGAAAACAAATAACAAAAACTGGTTATTTGATTACTGATAGTTTGCATGCATGCAAACTATATCAGTTATCAAACAAACAACCAGTCGTGTTTATTTGTTTTCTTCAGAACTAAGGATCTATAGGACGATTCTTTTCTGTGCACTCGCTGGTGTATTCGAAACCCCGTTCTCGTTTTAAATAAACACGAGAACGGGGTGGCAAATGACGAGAACAAACACGCAAACAGTGTCCGCGAACCGGATTTTCACCGCCCAACTAATTATTGGGAGGCATGAGGAACGTCAAGAACAAAGATGGTGGACTAGGCCCCCAACACATTTTGCGTGAATTTGTTGTGCATTAAATCGTGAACACTCGGTCAGCGCAGAAGCAGTAATTATAGACAGAGAGGGCTTGTCTTTCGCAATATTCATAGCTGTTCCCAAATATCATATATCATTTTCGTAGATCGTTAATTATTCTCTCCTTAAATGTGCGTTTTCATACGGCGGCTGCCATATTGAGTGCTCAACCACTGCACCCTACATATACTTGGGCTTTCGTAATCGGCAATCCTATAAAATATCACACTGTTCGCGTCCCCGAGTTCTTTTTCCTTTCATTATTTCAATGAGGGTATTCCAAGTTCACATCTCATCCATTCATCCCAAAGAAAGCAAATGTTGAACTTTAGCTACAAGTAAGGTCCCGCTCCCCCTTTAAAAAAAATCCTTAATACCCAGGGAATCGACCGAATTTCTCCCTTGCTCAGAATGAATATCATTATTACGGGGAATGGTACATTTTGTTTATACGTTTATGAGCTCGCAGTTACAGCTCCACCCCTGCCAGTTTAATAGAATCGTCCACGTGAGAATGATATTGAAAGATTTATTACGCGGAACACGGCCGGATTTCCGCCTGAAACAAGTACATGAACACGTGTTCCATAAGGCCAAAAAAAAAAGTCTCCGGTTTCTGGTATGGAGCTTGTTCAAAAAGTGGTGCGGCGACGCGGCTTTTTTTTTTTTTTTACCTGACTTTTTTGCTTGAAATGTCGGCTGATGACTGCAAATGATGCCCGACTAAACTTAGTGAAAAAAATATGGGAGTCCAGAGAGGCCACATACAGCTTATTCTCGATAATCACCCCATCTAAAAGCACGTTAAAATTGTGCAGCAGCAGGATTCCAGTCAAACCAGTGAGTTTGGCGGTTTTGAGACATCATCTTTCATTGAAAAAAAAAACGTTTTCATTTTGCCAATGCGCATGGCTACGGCGACGCGCGCGCATACCAGAAACCGGAGACTTTTTTTTTTTGGCCTAACAAGCGATAATGCAGGGAGCAGAAACCAGGATAAATGGGAATCACCACTTCCTCTATGGAACGCCAAAGAGGCATTTAATGTGATCATCGAATCGGTGATACACTTTTGCAATCGGTGATGCATATTAACGATCGGTGATGGACTTTCGCGATCGGTGATGGACTTTTACTGGTGATGCATATTCACGATCGGTGATGGACTTTCGCGATCGGTGATGGACTTTTACTGGTGATGCATATTCACGATCGGTGATGGACTTTCGCGATCGGTGATGGACTTTTACTGGTGATGCATATTCACGATCGGTGATGGACTTTCGCGATCGGTGATGGACTTTTACTGGTGATGCATATTCACGATCGGTGATGGACTTTCGCGATCGGTGATGGACTTTTACTGGTGATGCATATTCACGATCGGTGATGGACTTTCGCGATCGGTGATGGACTTTTACTGGTGATGCATATTCACGATCGGTGATGGACTTTCGCGATCGGTGATGGACTTTTACTGGTGATGCATATTAACGATCGGTGATGGACTTTCGCAATCGGTGATGGACTTTTACTGGTGATGCATATTCACGATCGGTGATGGACTTTCGCAATCGGTGATGGACTTTTACTCAACGACTGGTCATCGCAGCTTTGATCACCGATCGCGAAAGACCATCACCGATCGCGAAAGTCCATCACCGATTAAATGCCGCTTTTGGCGAAACAGGAACGCCAAAGAGGCATTTAATGTGATCACCGAAACGGTGATGGACTTTCGCGACCGTCGCATCTGTGTGTTGCGTCGTAATCATTTGCACGTATTATACTTATCTATGTTCCTTGCTCTGGAGCAATTTAAATTTAATTGCAAATGCGCAGAGCCTTTATTTTGCTCTTCTGTTTTTTTAATACCTTTCGCGAAAATATGATAAATTTTACTTCCGCGTAACCGATGTAATTTTCGAACCATGGTGTGTGTGTTTGATAAGAATTAAATTTAGAATTTAATCATTTTTAAGATTAGAAAATATTATCATTGTTTTTTTCAAAGAGCAATGATTCGATGTGTACATTTTTGTAATGCAGCATGGTACTCAATCTGCTAAGACCACTGTGGGAAATAGAGCTAGCTTTATGGTTTGTGCCAGCCATGTCTTCTTTGGCAATCAATCACCTTGTCCCTTTAGCCCTCGCAACAACACGTGCTTCAGGTCTCCACTTACCAGATACCATTTTTTTTTTGCAGTCGTGGAATTGGGGCACGATCGAGGTCAATCGTTTTTACATGGGGGCTCACAAATTGGGTGTTCCACATGCAAACGCGTTCCATGCACCAACTGACGTTCAGCAAAATAATGGAATCCTTTTCAATTTTAAGAACATATACCTTTACATCATGTACATGATGTATAGGCTACAACGGTCTACAATCGAGCCGCAACTTCCGAGATCTTTTCGAGCTTGTCTTAAGTGGCCTTGTCAATTGTATAGTGCACAAACAGAACAGACATTCGCTATTTAACCCAATTGGTTACATTATTCTTTAACTAATGAATAATAACTTATTCACCGGTGTGCACAGTCTTTTTAAACATCGGAGTTATCAAAGGAAAATATTGAATAATGTATAAATAAAAACACACTAAAATTTTCCAAAAGGAGTACAACCGCAACAGTTACCTATGTACCGATAACCTAAACAAAGCTTAGTCTGCCCATGACGCCGGCAGCCTCCGTCGCCCAGAAATCACAGCATATTTAAGTTGAAGAAAGTGGGTTTTTTTTTTTTTGGGGGGGGGGGGGTTGGCTGGGATATTTTCACCCACTTACTTTGATAATATAAAAAAAACACTCTGCACCGATAGCAAAAGTCTATGCAAGGTTGATCACCGATCGTGAAAGACCATCACCCATGGGCGTCACAAGGGGGGAGCACGGGAGCGCCCCCCCCCCGGAAAAGCCCCCCCCCCCCCCCAAAAAAAAAAAAAAAAAAAGATGGGGGAAGAAGACAGAAAAAGGGGCGCGAAGTAATATTGTTTGAAAAATGCCCACCCTCGAAAAATGATAAATCGTGAATATGCTGGAAAAATCCAGGTATTTCGGGGAGAAAAATGTTTTGCCCCTCTGCCAAAAAATTCTGGCGACGCACAAATCACGGTGTTTTATAGCCACATTGCCAGTAATAGGGAAAACAGGTCGACTTATCAATTGTTATGGTTATATTAATAACGGCAACACCAAACCGTAGTGGGCAACAGCGGAGACTCAAAGCCACGACATACACAATATGCTTGACAATAAATGAAATACATGAACATGAGATATGTGGCAGTAATAACAACAAATGAAAATCATACTTGAATTACAAAAAAATAACTTCCCACGTCATGCCTCGTGACACTTGAGAGCGCTACGGCAAGTATCAAATTAGAAAAACAAGGGATTGAATGGTTTCGTTTGCCCCATAAATATGAGGAGCAGGCTGTCTGTATCCTAAAAATTGCGAACATTTTAATCCTTGTAATGGATATAGTCTCTTGAAACCTTGGAGCACTATAACTGGCGGATGTAAGGGGTGGTGGTGGAAAACATTTGCAAGGAAAGTTCCTCTGTGTACTGTCCATCATGTGCTCGCTTAAAGGGAAAATACAACATTTGCAAACATCAAAAAATAAAACTACCAAATAATTTTGAAATACCTTGCTGGACTGTTAGTGAATGACAGTGTAAAGCATCCTGTAAAATCATGGCACCTGGTATACTGTCATTTTCAAGAAAAGTGGTATTTTTGTATCAATTTCCAACGCTGGTCGGCCGACCAGCGTTGGAAAAAACTGGCTTTTTTCAAATACTGGCCCCAATTGACCATCGCACTTGTTTGCAATCGATTACACACCTATGAACGGGTACAAGCCAGCTAGACTGGTTCCCTGACCTTACAATTCCCCAATGTATGTTAACTGCTCCGTTTCTTCTTATATTGAGTCAGGGAACCAGACTACAGGAAAATGATTGTTTTTCTTAGTTTTTATAGCATTTTCGAACCCAAAACCTCAAAAAAGTCAGTGTAACTACATTTGCTATATATTTCCAACCCCTGCAATTCCATTCGTTTCTGAAAATTACAGCAAAGGCAAATGATGTATATTCCCTTTAAGTGTGCTTAAGTGACCAGAGGCCCCACATATCTATACCAAGATTGGCTATTAGATGGATTTATGATGATGATGATGATGATGATGTGATTGCATTCCTGTGCCCCCTGGATGCCTGCTCAGACCCCTCAATAACCCCGCCATATATGCTGTCTCCAATGACCCACACATCAATCATCATATTATGCAAAAACCTTTTATCACGTATTGGTAAAAAAATACTCGGACTCAAATTTAAGGACATGAGAAACACATTGCTGAGATGATTAATAAAGCTAATAGAAAATTATTCATGTTCAGGAAACTGAAAGAAACTGGTTTTACTCTAAGAACTTGTTACCCTATGTTAGACCAGTCCTAGCAAACGCATCGCCGGTGTCACGGTCTCGCTTCTCCGGCGTGCTAGCTTCTCCAAAAGGAAAATTTCGCTTCAACACGCATGCACAAAATTGCGCAGTAGTGTACATTTTCGTCACTGTATTAGTGTGCCGAGTTCCTCGGGGTTGTACTTGTGCACGTAAGATCTTATTTGTATGAATGGTTACAGGGTATCAGTCGAATCCAGAATTTTCGTGGCACGCACTATTAACTCCCAATAACAAAAAAAGACTTGAAATGCACATTTATTTTAAGCCATGGTTGCAATAATAAAGACAAAATGGACCACGAACGAGCAAGGAACACGGACCAAGGAGTTCGTTCTTAATTATTCCTCCATGAACACACACACATGCATGACGCTGGGAACACCAATCAGCATTTTCGCAAGACCATGGAATGACTTGACCCACAGGAAGTGTTACATAACACATTCTTAGGTGTCCTTCACTGTGTTATTAATGGGCTTGGTAGACTTCAACAGCCCTAGGAAAAGTAAGCACAGTGGACACATGAGCATGAATCGTGCTCATGTAACGTGCACTATAACGTGCTCAATTATCCGCCGAATCCACCCGGAGAAGCTAGCACGCCGGAGAGGTGAGACCGTGACACCGGTTTGGCACTCAAGCATTACACTCAAACAGACCAATCTAATTTAGTCGATCCAAAAGAGTTTGCCGTATTACTCTATCTCTGGATCACCTTTATGATAGAAGAACCACTATGTGTACAAACTTTGCTCTAGGTGCTTTTAAATCAGGCAAATTTAATGAGTGGTTTCCTCAATCAAAAAGTTGGCACACTATGAATCTTAGATCGAGTAGAACACTCAAGGAGTATCCCAGTTCATCCAAGAGATTTCGAAATAGCCCAGACTCATCAATAGTTCAACATAGGATTTTCAAATGTATACAATTTTAATTGCTATTATCCGAGTGTATATGTTTTTGAGAATAATGGATTGTTGTGCATTTTGTATGTGTTTCGATTTCTCGTGAAATGTGTTTATTTTAAATTTATTTTAATTTTTACTGTAAATCACTGTGCAATTCAGCGTCTGAGCTGCTTGATGGTGATAATCAACCCAAATAATAATAATGTTAATAATAATATTGATAAAAAATAATAACTTATAATAACCCATAATTGGCTATTTGGGGAACATTCCCATAAACTAGTGCACACATTTTTCCCCCAAATTTAATGACCCGTAACTCCAATTTTACCTTAATTCGCCGGGTAATTTTTACTAATTCGACCACGAGCAATCGAGTCTATTTGCGACGATAATATTTTGCCTCTAAATGTGTGACGCTAAAGTGTCTCCCGTTCTGTTCATGCCACATTCACAGAGGAGTGTTTTATTCCGGATACCTGTGATATGGCATATACCGTTTGAATTGTTAATTGTTATGGTTATGTTAATATGGGCAACACCAAAGGCCCAAATCCACAGCGGCATACACTAACTGCAAACATTTCACGGACATAACAAAAAATGGAGTTCGTAAGTGAGAACGGACATATTATAAAACATATAACCGTATTAACACAATTTAGGGGCAACACCAGGCCCGATCAGTAGTGGGCAACACAAGAAACTCAAAGCCACGGCATACACAATATGCTTGACAATAAATGAAATACATGTAGGCCTATATGAACATGAGATATATGTGGCAATAAATGACAACAAATGCAAATTAAACTTGAATAACAAAAAAATAGCTTCCCACAGATGTACATTCAGTCAGGAAAACATCATAGCCTCGTGACAGACTGAGATCGCTACGGCAAGTATCAAATTAGCCTAACAAAATAGAAAAACAATGGATTGAATGGTTCCATTTGCCCCATAAATATGAGGAGCAGGCTGTCTGTATCCTAAACATTGCGAACATTTTAATCCTTGTAATTTGTATAGTCTCTTGAAACCTTGGAGCACTATAACTGGCGGATGTAAGGGGTGGTGGTGGAAAAACATTTGTAAGGAAAGTTCCTCTGTGTACTGTCCATCATGTGCTCGCTTAAGTGCGCTTAAGTGACCAGAGGGCCCCACATATCTATACCAAGATTGGCTATTAGATGGATTTATGATGATGATGATGATGATGTGATTGCATTCCTGTGGCCCCTGGATGCCTGGTCAGGCCCCCCAATAACCCCGCCATATGCTGTCTCCGATGGCCCACCCATCAATCATCAGGTGCAAAAATTGTTTTACCATTTATTGGATAAAAACAAATCACTGTGTTTATGCCACATCCACAGAGGAGTGTTTTTATTCCGGATACCATCGATTGGGCATTTACCGGTTGCAATATGGGCAGCACCAAAGCTCAAAGCCACAGCGGCATACACCAACAACAAACATTTTACGCACATTAATTTAAAAAAAAAATGCAGTTCACATATGAGAAAGACACTTTCAAACACAAAAACACCGTAAACAAATATCACCGTCAGGGGCAACACGAAAAACCCTAAGCCACAGCGGCATGCAAGTTCAATAACTGATGCACTTTGGCGATCGATGATGGATTTTGCAATCGGTGATGGGTCGTTGATCATCGGTCGCAAAAGTCCATCACCGATTGCAAAAGTCCATCACCGATTGCAAAGTTGATCACCGATCGCGAAAGTCCATCACCGATCGTTAATATGCATCACCAGTAAAAGTCCATCACCGATTGCGAAAGTTCATCACCGATCGTGAAAATGCATCACCAGTAAAAGTCCATCACCGATCGCGTAAGTCCATCACCGATCGTGAATATGCATCACCAGTAAAAGTCCATCACCGATTGCGAAAGTCCATCACCGATCGTGAATATGCATCACCAGTGAAAGTCCATCACCGATCGCGAAAGTCCATCACCGATCGTGAATATGCATCACCAGTGAAAGTCCATCACCGATTGCGAAAGTCCATCACCGATCGTGAATATGCATCACCAGTAAAAGTCCATCACCGATCGCGAAAGTCCATCACCGATCGTGAATATGCATCACCAGTAAAAGTCCATCACCGATCGCGAAAGTCCATCACCGATCGTGAATATGCATCACCGATTGCAAAAGTGTATCACCGATTCGATGATCACATTAAATGCCTCTTTGGCGTTCCATATTCCTCGAGTACTTGAGCAACTTTGAGCTCCACGTTGGGCCTTCCATCAGACGTGTTAGATTTTCTTCTCTCGGAAATACGGAACCACCATTAATCGACGGGCAAGAAACATGGCAAGCAACAACAATTCTGGGATTGTAAGTAAATGGTATTGCTACGGGGATATCGCATATTTGGAAACAAAACTATGCCTCGGTGATAGGTTGGAGTTCGAGTGTAGTGGTGTGTACACGCACTGGGGTATACACGTCGGAGGATACAAAAATATGCAACACGCTGTCATTCATTGTGATATATTCGAAGGAGTGGCGGCATTCTTCACAGACAAGGCGTCCTCTGCCAGTCGAAAGTCCGAGATTCGAGCTAATAAAATTGGGCAGATTCTCGGCGGTTATGGCAGGGTGAGGATCAACAACTCAACAGACAAAACAATAGAATCTCTGGATCCCAACGTCGTCGTCAAAGTGGCAATGATAATGCAACGAAGAAAAACACCAATCGATGTCAACCTTCTCGACAGCAACAGCGAGTACTTCGTGAATCTTTGTCGATACGACAGGCACTGGAGTAGCCAAGTTTTTGCAGGATACAATTTTGGGATTGAGGGTAAACGGTATACCTCTAAGAATATCGCAGACTTGGAAGACGAGGTGTGCCCCGGGGATAGGCTGGAGTTCGGCCACGCCTTGCACTCACACTGGGGTATATATGTCGGTCGATACAACGATAAGGAACATGCCGTCATCCATTTTAGTATATCCGGAGGATGGTCTTCATTCTCCAAAAAGAAGACATCCAGTAGTGCGTTTGCTGCCAGTCAAAAGCCCGAGATATTAGCTGACCAGATTGGTAAGATTCTCGGCGCTTCTGGCAGGGTGAGGATCAACAACTCAAGAGACCAAACAGTACAGCCTCTGAATCCCTACGACATCATTAGATCAGCAAAGAAAATGCACCGTGTCAAAACGCCGATTGATTACGATCTCCTCGACAACAACTGCGAGCACTTCGTGAATCTGTGTCGATACAACAAACCCCACAGTGAGCAGGCTGAAGCAGTGCAGACGACCGGGGAAAACGTTATATTGTTCATACTGGGATTCACAGGTTAGTATCTAAAGCTAGCTAACTGACTTCTAACGGGTCATAAGGTCCAGTATATCAACACCCTTTGCAACAAAATAAGGAGTTTTATCGATTAGAGGAACATCAAAATCAAAGAAAATCTGAAGCGGGGTATCAAAAACTAACCCGTTGTAAGTTCAGCTGAATTGTGCGAACATGAAAATATTAATTTGCCAATGGCTCCACGAACATTGCAAATGTCTTATTACAGTAATAAAGGAAGTGAACAATATTTTACTTTGAAACGTGATCAAAATGTTCTTTGATCTAAATAAAAGAAATATAATAAAAGGCTAGCAAAAATCGAACAATTATCGATTTTTAGATTTTTTTTGCAATTCGCGAGAATAGCGATAATTTATTCGGTAGGCCCACATGTAATCAGCACAGCAGCTGTTTGGCCGTTGAACCCCCTTTTACTCAAGCAATTATAAACGTGTCAGACCTTAATTGTCAACATTTTGCTCACTGAGTTTTGGGATTACGTCGATGTTGCAATTCATGCAATGCATAGTTTTAGATGTTCTGTTGATTCCAGTGCAGCATTTGCACTCATGACCTCTGAAAAATATTGAACCAAGTGAATAACCCCTCAGTGTAGGAAATGACCACAGCATCAATTTGTGCTGTGAGAAATTTCCGAATGCGGGAACCAGTCTATTACCGGGAATCCTCACTCCCCACGAGAACGTCAACATCGTTGAACCCAGATTTTGACCTTTTGTGTGATCAGAAATACTGCACCGCCCATAAGACAGACAAGAAACATGGCGAATTTTGGGATTAAGGGTACTCGCCTCTTGGATGATACGGTACGGGGTATAAGGGATGAAACACGCTGTCATCCATTTCGGTATTATTCGAGGGAGGGGCGGCATTTTCCAAAAAGGAGACACCAGGCAGTATGTTTGCTGCCAGTCAAAAGCCTAAGATTCTCGGGGGTGCAAAGGTTAAGGATCAATAACTCCAGGGACTGTGATAAAAACTTCTCAGTTCCCACACAATCAGTGAAAAGGCCAAGAACATGCACTGAAACAAAACGCCGATTGACCACAATCCTTTCAGTAGAAACTGCAAGCACTTTGCAAATTGTTGTCGATACGAAGATACCCATAGTGCGCAGAATACCGCAGTAGTAGCTGCAGTAGCGTGGTTTCACCCTCGTAGTAGCCATAGTAGGTTAGGATTTAAAACTGGCTGACAGACTGACCCAAGTGTACATTAATTAACAGCGAGACAAGGCAAGCCTAGAAAAGTGTGGCCCAGAGTGCACGCAACTATATTTAATTAATTCAAAAGGGCTATCGGTATCAGGGGCGGATCCAACTTTTGCCCAAGGGGATGTAACTTTTGGGGGGGGGGGTGGATAAACAGTCATGCGCCACTGGCCTTAATCTTCAGGGGAAGGGGGAATAGCAGGCATGCGCTTTTAAAATAAAATTAAATAAAATTAAATATAATAACCCGTGCTCCGTAGACTGAACGTTTTTTCATGCATCTGTCCATGTTCGATGAATACACAAAGGCCGGGATTTAGCTCATTTAGTGGCTTTACGGGGTAATACTTGTTTACGAAACATATACGATTTGCGGATAGAAATAGTTGATTTTGAGGGCTTGGAGATGAACAACGAAATGTGAATCATTTTACCAATGCTCTAATTCGTTTAAATTTACAGGTCTCCTCATCGTGTTGTATCTGTCATATCCAAAGCTTCGTGGAATTCAACAGCAATTGAGCTGGTGGTAGAGAATACAACGAAGAGTGGAGCGCCGAATTATTGGCGAACAGCGACACAACCAATCGGCCCATGGTTCGACGAGAATTGACGGTTAGTGTCGTAAGGATGCTAACAAACACTAGTGGAATTATATATTGAAACTGAACTTAAAAAAAAAAACATCGTTGCGTCGCAGTCTGATACTGACAATTTATGTAGATTTTGTAGACTTGGGAACAAAGTAGAACACAATAGAAATTTACGTTGTCAAAGCATTAACCATTACAATTGCTTTTCAATCAAAACCATTGGGGAACATGGTGGGGAAAATAACGGAGCATATAATATTACATAATTATAAGGTCGTCGTTTATTGAATATTGGCAATCGATTGTCATCTGTATAATATTGAAATATGGACCATATGCCCATTAAATGCTCTGCTGTAAATAATATAAGCAAGCGAAACCAAAAGTATCGTGGTACATGTATTATGATAGGACAATCTTGTAGTACAAAATTGATTGATTAACATTGCAAACGCATTGTAGTATTGATTTTCGTAGTTAATGACTATTGGATATAGAACTAGACTGGACAACATTTGCAATTTTCACAAACGAAACTGGCAAAAAAGTTATGAAGTAGGTCAACAATAGGATCAGCAGTCTGTGAAATCATTGCGGTTATGCTGTAAATTTCAAGACAAGAAAAACAAGTATTTTTTGTCTTCAAATACTGCACCAAATCGACCGAACATTGTTTAGTTTGCAATCGGTTACAAATGTCGGTTACAAATTATTACATATTAAAGAATGATTTTCCTGAGTGACAAACCGAAATTAAACTGAAAGAGGGTGCAAGTCAGAACCTATTATTAAATATTTTGGGAGGCAGATTAGGGATTTCAACGGAAACCTTGCCTTGCGTCGAGAAAAATGAAGATTTTTTTTTCTTCACAGTTGTCTATAAAAAAGTGTGCTTTCTTCTGAGCTGAAATTTCGATAGGTTATTTGTATAATACTGCAGATATGTTGTATTGTTGTTCTTTTAAAAGGCAAAATTGCAGTTTTGGGGGCAAATGATGTACATTACCCTTGAATGCCTACTGTAAACAAGAGTGGAATGTAAAAAGTATTTACTTTAAAAAGTGTGCAGTTGCTGATATGCTTTACCGTTCATTGACTGATGGAAATTGCAATCACATTGTTGTAATTTTGATTTTTTTTTTGGTTGACAGGGTAAAACAGTTTTGCTCATGAATATACGCGGCTCATTAACATAATTTCATAAATATAAGTATCTAGTTTTATCTTCGTATAAGAAGATGCAATCCAGGGGCGGATCCAGGAATTTTCGCAGGTGGGGGGGGGGGGGGGGTTCATCAGCAAAAAAATCTGAAAATGTACCCAGGTTTTTTTTCTCCGGACACTTGGCCTGCGTATAATCAAAAACTGGGGGAGGAGGGGGGGGGGGTGGGCTGGTACCATATTTCAGTAGGGGGCGCTATTCAAATTCGACGATTATTAACACTAGATTACAGTATGGTGTACCGTATTTTGAACAGGCGGACATTATACCAGGATAATTTCTTTTTGGGTGTCACAGCGGGGGGGGGGGGGGGGATTCGCATTATTTTTTAGGCATTTGTGTGATTATTTTTTTGGACAGAGCTGGGGGGAACCCCCCCCCCCCCGATCCGCGCCTGCAATCATAATAAAAGATGTTGAAATCTACGATGTGGCGAAAAAGTTGGTTTTTAAATGGATAACAGTATTAATTTGCTCAAATCCCATGGCTGTAACGTTCAAGTTATTTTCTGTGGAACTCTTGAGTATGGTTGATAGTTTCGTTTGCACTGTGGACCTTACGCGTAGCGGCCATCTTAGAGAGCATCTTTGTTTGATTCATTCAGTAATAATGAGTGCACAAATGGTTCACTCATGCATATCCAAGAAAAAGCAAAGACATTGCCCTCCAAGATGGCTGCTATACGTATAAGGTCTATCAACAAAAATCGTCTCAACAATCGTGTTAACTTGGTTATCATTAAAACACTGTGTGATTTTGAAGGATAGTTTTCAGTAGAATAATTAGTGAAATGCCCATTGTCTTGTTAACATAAGTTTAAGTTGTAATATGATGAAGGTCTAGTAACAAAAATCGTCTCAAAAATCGTGTTAACTTGGTTATCATTAGAACATTGTGTGATTTTGAAGGATTGTTTTCAGTGGAATAATTATTGAAATGCCCATTGTCTTGTTACCATAAGTTTAGGTTGTAATATGTTAAAGCTGTTCTAGACCCTGTTTGTTCCTCTGGTCATGCAAACGTTATCTGCAACGCAGAACTATGCTTAAGTGACAGGCTTTGACTTAATTTTTTAATCAAAGTTATTACTTTTTGTGTTCATTATTAGTTGATTTTTTATACACGACAGCCACCATTTAGCAATTGCCTAAGATGAGCTATATTTTAAAAATCAACATAATTTTTTTAGAAACAATTATTGCTTGATTTTTATTTACAACTATAATTTCTTATGTTGTCAAGTCAATACCATGATTATTGTGAAGGACTAAGAATTTGAGGGTAAAAAAGATTAAAGTGAAAACTTGTGTCTATTATTTTCAGTCTGCAGTCGGTATTGACATTGGAACTTGTTATTCTATTGCGACATTCATTCAAGTACATCTGCTGATCACGTGCGAATCACTCGGCACTACCAATGGCAGATCACAACCGCTGATTAATGTCAAACTAGTAAAATGGGGTCAAATATAATAAATGGAATGCTAAAGTGCCTGAATTAATTGCCGAAAAGCCTAAGGATACAAGGGTGGGGGTGGGGGGGGGGCAAGCCTCATGACCCAACCCCGCCCACCCCACCCCAGCCTTCACTCGGCACAAACCTTTCACTAACCCCCACCCTACATATGAATTTCCCTTACTCGGTTTCCTGAAGCTAAATCCTACCTGTCTACATTCTTCGCTTAACCGACCAAAGTTTAAAAACTAAAATAGTTAAAACGATGTACGCCTATTGATGGTCTATATTGTTTTGACTGCCTATGATTGTTCCATATGTTTTGACAGTCGGTGAAATAGACCTATTAACCTTTGAAAAAGGAACTCCTCTCTTTTCAAAAGGAACGCGTCCCTCGTCCCTCGTACATTTCGAAAAAGTCCCATGGATCAGATTGACCCGGAATCTGGGTTTGAGCTGGCCTGACACTTTTCACTTTGTGAAAAATGACACTTTTGGGTGGTCAAATGGCGCTTCCCTGACCCATTTCTGGGCCATTTGATTCGACAACCATGGCAAAAGTCATATTGACCCGACAAGGTGTCAGACCAAAGAGAACCCATGTTCCGGGTCAAATCGGACCTGGGACTCTCTCTTTTCTGTAGTGTGTACCTTGTGCTTAGGACCCTCTGATTTTGTTTTAGACATCCACGGCCCTGTTTCATTTACACTAAATGTTGAATCCATGTTGGCACACTGACGAAAATGTTTCATTTTAATAATGAGAAAAAATGAGCTTCTGAATGAGCCGCCGTTTGATTGAGTATCCCATATCGCTTAGGCAAACAAATATCCTGCGGCTCCAAATACAATCAGCATTCACGCACCTTTTTGGCCGTTGAAACCCTTTTTGTTCAAAACAATATGTCAGATCTTATATTTGTCACGAAGTTACATACAACTTAGTTTTGGGACGTTCTCGGGAATATCAGTTCTGAATAATGATCTTTGGACTGCCATGTTAATGAATACTATAAGCCACGGCGTAGAAGGTAAACAGAAATGACGACACAGGGAGGTGATGGTGCAATTATGGGCCCAATATCAGTATGTTTGTATTGACAGATCCGTGATATTATTTGGGCAACATTAAATTTCAGCCTTTTGTGTTATCAGACGCATTAGTTTTCCTCGTCTCGTAAATACCAAAACCACCAGTCGTGTAGGCAAGAGACATGGCAAAAAAGAACAATTTTGGGATTGTGGGTGACTGGCATTTGCCTTCATTTCCGGATATCACAGCATTGGAAGACGAGTTATGCCCCGGTGATAGGCTGGAGTTTGACTTTGGCATATACGCACACTGGGGTATATACGTCGGTCGGTACCAAGATATGAGACATGCTGTCATCCATTTCGGTATGTTCGAAAAGCGGGCGACATTCTCCAAAAAGAAGATATCAGGCAGTGCGTTTGCTGCCGGTCAAAAGCCCGAGATACGAGCTGATACGATTGGGATGATTCTCGGTGGTTCTGGCAAGGTCAGGATCAACAACTCAAGAGACCTTAAAGTGGAGCATTTGGATCCAGACGTCATCATTGAAACAGCTACGACCATGCACCGAGACAAAACACCGATTGATTACAACCTTATCGAGAATAACTGCGAGCACTTCGTGAATCTTTGTCGATACGACAAACCCCATAGTCAGCAAGCTGAAGATTTGGTGATTGGGGCCCTGGGTTTATTCGTCGGGGGAGCCATAGCCGGTGAGTATCTCAAGCTATAACTTTGGCACACGCGGCAATGATACAAGCCAAGCCTAGAACAGCTCGGCCCTGGGGCGGATCTTCCTTTGGCTCAGGGGAAGGAACTAGGTATAGCTTTCAAGAGAGGGGGTATACAGGCATTTGACACTTTTTTTCCTGCATGATTTTACTTTTTTTTCTTTTTACCAAATGGGTGTGGGGGTGGTAATTAGAATTTACAATCCCCGTTTATCCACCCCTATACTTGTGAGGGGATGGGGGTGGCAGCCATAGTTTTGAATGCGTAGAGGGCGGGGTTTACAGAAGAAGTATTTTCATGCACGCATAATGTTCTGTACACAATGGGCTTGATTCATTTCTTTCTTTTGGCGTTACCATACCATGTAATCCCACATGATAGCACTACCAGATACTCGTCATAAGAAAATAATGAGACAATGAGACGGACAAACAAGATGAAAATCAGGCGCGCTCTAGCTCTTGGACCAGCAATTTATCAGGCGCGGTGCAGGATAGACAATTAAGGCCAAAACTTTGAATGTTGCTGTTCATGCTATTGAGGTCAGTATAACGTATCCAGCTTTGGATGTCAGGGGGCAACCGCATCATTCCGCACTGAAATGTAGACGTGTTTTTTTTTTCTCCGGACACTTGCCGTCCGTAAAATAAAAAAGGTACCCTTCTTCCTTAATGAGGGGTGCTCTTCAAAACTGACCATCTCTATGCACACTGCAAATTATATACCCATTGTTATGGTTTTTGAGTGGGTTATCTTTTTTGTGGGATTGACATCGGAACTCTCTTACCATTAATTGGAATAATGCTGAAAAAAATTGTGGAAGAAATCCACCAGGGCGTGGCAAAGTGCCCCCTCCTACCCCCCCCCCCCCCGATACGCCACTGATTGAGGTCTCAAATTCATTTTAAATTTAAATAACCAATTGCTCGATTTATAATCATAGCTACGATTTTGGGAAGGCCAGAGAGGCACGAATATCCACAATGAAGGGTAAAGCTTTTATTTGTTTTTTTAGCGATCCGTTTTGATTTTTTCTATTTACAGGTCTCTTCATCAGGATGATAAGTCCCAGCACTCAACGCAGATAATCCTGTCTTTTCAACTAATTCTCCTGGAGTACTACCGTAATTGAGCTGGTATAGAATGCCACGGAGAGTGATCCACCAAATTATTAACGAACAGAGGCACTATTTATGTATAATATAGGATGGTGTGGTAAGGATGACAACAAAACCTAGTGGTAAATGAAGAGTATTGGAAATGGAGCCTAATAAAAGGCTAATATAAACCAGAAAAGAACTCGCCATTTCAGTGCTAAATATCAATTTTGAATTGACAATATTTTACAGTTGAAAGACATTTTTAAAAATGAGGAAAAGAATCGCATTAGAAAACAGAATTACATTTTAACTAGAGAGAAAATGCACAATGAAACATTCCTGTGTAAGAATTTAAGCCTTTTTGTAAAAAGAAAATCACGTTCACAACTACGTCAATGTGTTATTATAGCTTTGATTTTGCAATCTGTATATATATATGCTTACTGCTGAATTATGTAATTTAGATACATTTTGTAAATAATGACCTTTGGCCCAAAATTTCAGGTAGGCACCTGGTATAGTTAAACGCAAGAGAAATTGCATTGTAAACGTAGGCAAGATTTACCACGAAAATGTTTAAAATCCAAACCTATTTCTTTCTCTTCCCATAAAACACGAGAGCTACAATGAGCAAACGCTTGCGATAAATTAATTCATGACTTCAAATCCATATTAAATTTGGAGTGCAAAAACCCAATTTTTTTTGCAAATTTTGATTGCCGGAGTTTTCAAAAGTTTCAAAAATGCGACGAATGTACGTATGTACGAACAACACTTATCAAGTTCCAATGACTTTGCCGGATTCTTTCCCAAAGCAGACCTTAACTTTAATATCATCTTAATATTTGTTTACTTAATGAGACTCAGCAATCTACGGTCGTTCCTTTTTAACAAAACAAAATTAACCCAAAACACATACGAGTTCGTCATGTGATAAGTGCAAACGCGGAGACTGCAGTAAACAAGTCATACTTCCTTAAAAAGCAAACGTGTTGAATAGGAACTCGATGCCTTTTAGCGACACCTGTACACCAGCTCACAAAAATGTTTTTGTCGCTTGAATCATGAATGGCGTATAAATGAACTTGGGGTCGAGTGAATTTATTTTTAGCATTTTCATTGTGTCTGTGTATGTGAGCTGCGCATAATAGGTCCTCGGCCGATTGCAAATGGTGGGAAAATTTCATAGGCCTATGATGTTTGTGCAAGTAACAAAAACACGTTTTGTCGAAAGCCAGGAAAGTTTCGAATTAGTCAGTATTGGGGAGACTTTGTGCATGCGAATTAACAATCCCAGTCGTTTTTGTTTTCTTTTATTCAGAACTAAGGAGATTTAGGATAATTCTTTTCCGTCGGACTTGGAAATGAACACGAGTTAATTCATTCATTCAGTTGCAGCATCATGAACCTCAACATATGTCTTTCGTATGATTAGACGCATTAGTTTACCTCGTCTCGCAAATACTGAACCATCAGTCGACAGGCAGGAGACATGGCAACGAAGAACAATTATGGGATTAAGGGCAACTGGCGTGAGTCTTCATTTCCGGATATCAACGCATTGGAAGACGAGTTATGTCACGGTGATAGACTGGAATTCAACCGCGGCTTGTACTCACACTGGGGCATACACGTCGGTGAATACGAAGGGATGGAACACGCGGTCATCCATTTCGGTAAGTTCGAAAGAGGGCCGGTATTCTTGCGTTTTCGGTCTGCTGTCAGTGAAAAGACCGAGATACGAGCTGATACTATTGGACAGATTATCGGTGGTTCTGGCAGGGTGAGGATAAACAACTCAAGGGACAACAAAGAAGAGCCTTTGGATACCGGCAACATCATTGGAACAGCAATGAAGATGCACCGAGACGAAACGCCGATCGTCTACAACCTTTTCAGCAAAAACTGCGAGCACTTCGTGAACCTCTGTCGATACGGTCATCCCCACAGTGATCAGATAACTGCAGCACTGCAGACGGCTTGGAACTTAGGCCAATATTTGCTTGCCATTGGTGCAATAATAAGTAAGTATAAAAAGTACGCATTTAGGCCTACTGTGACTAAGAACCATAAAAGGGAAGAGGAAATTTGTCTCTTGGTCGACAATGTAACGATAGCTGTTAAACTATAGTAACAACAAATTCTGTCAAGGTCGTTTTGATTGGGGCATGGTAATTGGGTGAAAAGGGGCACTCGGCATCCCTGCTGACAAGAACACAGAGTTTTTATTGGCCCTCTGCAAAATCAAAAACAGGGGAAGAAGACGGGGAGGACATCATCTTCGTATGGGGGCGCTGTATGCTCGAAGTGGACACTATCGGACAATAAGTGGCACTGTTCATGGAGGTACAACATCACCATGAGCACATTCGCGCGACGTTAGAAAAGGGTAACACATCTTTTCTTTTCTTTTCTTTTATATTTTACTGCTTTTTTTTGGGGGGGTGGAGTGGGGTTAGACCCCCTGCATTCAAAACGCTAAAAGTGAAAGACCATGAAGATGCACAATGAAATGTGAATCGTTTTAGCTATTTCCAGCAATCTGTACTCATTTCCTTTTAATTCTACAGTTGTCACCTACGCGAATTCTCGTCGCAGAAACTGAACGAAGATAATCCTGTCATTTCAACAGCTTTTCGTGGATCACCAGCAGTTGCCAAAGAACCTCACAGGGGATGGAGCGACGAATCAGCGAACAGCAGCACTGGGATTTATTTGCCGGTGGTTCGACATGAATTGAAGGCTGGTGCCGTAAGGATGATAACCAAAACAATAACACATACAAAAAAAAATATTGCTGCTGTACTATGGTGTACTATAAAGGACACCTATCTTTTATCGTCGTGCCTGTGGGGAGCTCCGTCGTGCCCATGAGCAGGTCCGCCGTGTTTGTGAGCAGAGCGTCGTGCGTGTGAGTAAAACCGTCGTGCCTGTGAGCAGGTCCGTCGTGTTTGTGAGCAGAGCGTCGTGCGTGTGAGTAAAACCGTCGAGCCTGTGAGCAGGTCCGTCGTGTTTGTGGAGAGGTCCGTCGTGTTTGTGAGCAGAACGTCGTGCCTGTGAGTAAATCCGTCGTGCCTGTGAGCAGTCCGTCGTGCGTGTGGGGAGGTCCGTCGTGGGTGTGGGGAGGTCCGTCGTGCGTGTGGGGAGGTCCGTCGTGTTTGTGAGTAAAACCGTCGTGCCTGTGAGTAAAGGCGTCGTGCCTGTGAGTCAATCCGTCGTGCCTGTGAGTAAAACCGTCGTGCGTGTGAGTAAAACCGTCGTGGTTGTGAGTAAAACCGCCGTGCGTGTGAGTAAAGCCGTCGCGCCTGTGAGTAAAGGCGTCGCGCCTGTGAGTCAAACCGTCGTGCCTGTGAGTAAAACCGTCGTGCCTGTGAGTAAAACCGTCGTATTTGTGAGTAAAACCGTCGTGCCTGTGAGTAAAACCGTCGTGTTTGTAAGTAAAACCGTCGTGCCTGTGAGTAAAGCCGTCGTGTCTGTGAGTAAAACCGTCGTGTTTGTGAGTAAAACCGTCGTGCCTGTGAATAAAACCGTCGAGCCTGCGAGTAAAACCGTCGTGTTTGTGAGAAAATCCGTCGTGTTTTGTGAGTAGAGCCGTCGTGCCTATGAGGAGCCATGTGTAATTTAACAAAATGATTGATATAAATTCATTGTTTATTATATAATTCAGTTTTCCGGACAATTATATGTAAATAAATGTTTGGCAGTTTGCATTACATGTAAATTAATTTATTTGCCACTGCATTATTTATATATAAATATTTTTTTGCAACCTAATTATTTACATATAATTTTGGGCAAACTAGCATTATTAATACATTTAATAAATTTGCAACCTTATTATTTATATATGATTTATTTGGTACCTCATTATTTATATATATATTTTTTTGCACGCTTTAATTATTTATTATATGATTTATTTGGTACCTTATTATTTATATATAATTTTTGGCACACTTTATTTATTTATATATAATGCATTATTTATTATTTAATTATTATTTATTGTATAATGCAGTATTTATTACATAATGCATTATATATCATATAATGCATTATTTGTTATATAATGCATTATTTTATTGTATCAGTACAAGATAAAATGCATTATTCGGCGCAGACACACACTGTTGATCAGTCACGTAATTTTCTTCAATCAGCTGGTTGATGCCATGGGGTACGTGTGCGCGGTTAACAGTAGCCTACTCGGTGGGCGCGGCCAGGGAACACCTGGCCGCCCCAATTATTTGCGGACGTGACATATTGAGGCCAGAGAAATAGTTCATATCGCTAAAATGATATGGATCGCGCGCCCAAAGGGGTAAAAAGAAGCAATATCGATACAGTGTATTAAGTCAAGTTCATTAATTAGGCTCAGAAAGTTCACTTCTGCTTAGCTTTTCGAAGCCGCTATACATGGAAAATAAACCCATTACCTCCCCTTCGCCTCCAATATAAAGAAATTAACTAAGGGCGAGAATTTACTGGTACGACGGGCAGTGCCTCAAGTCAAAAGAAATAAATAGTTCTTAAGTAAGATTTTGATTTTGACCAATTTTCACAAGTTCGTTTTAATCTTTAGAAACACTAGCACCCTCTGGTACTGGTGGTGCTTATTCCAACCGTATTTTCCAACGGTGGGAAAAAAATCGGCGTGCCTTTTTTCAAGTTTATTCTTCAGAAATTTTGGCATTTCTCAAGTTTATTCTTAAGTAATTTAGGCATATTATAAATTCAAGTCACGTGACAAATTACACCGTGACTAACACCCATTTGTTCTGATGGGGTTAGTATCCAACCGTAGTTTCTAGCGGTGGATATATTCGCAGTGAATGATAGGCCAGCGTGCCAAGATTTGGGCCCAGTGATGCCAAGCATGGCAAGGATTTGGGGCAAACGTACGTGCCCCCGTTTTTTTTCTGGCCAATGTACCAAAACTGTTTGGGTTAATAAAATTTGAATAAAACGATATATAATAGCGGCTCGAAAAAAAACTATGCCTAAGGCCAAAAAAAAAAAGTCTCCGGTTTCTGGTATGGAGCTTGCCCCAAAAGTGGTGCGGCGACGCAGCTTTTTTTTTTTTTACCTGTTTTTTTTTTTTTTTTTTTTGGGGGGGGGCTTCAAATGTCGGCTGATGACTGTAAATGGTGCCCGACTAAACTTAGTGCAAATATATGGGAGTCCAGAGAGGCCACATAAAGCTTATTCTCGATCATAACCCAATCTAAAAACACGTTAAAATTGTGCAGCAGCAGAATTCCAGTCAAACCAGTGAGTTTGGCGGTTTTGAGACATCATCTTTCATTGAAAAAAAAAAATCATTTTGCCGACGCGCATGGCTACGGCGACGCGCGCGCATACCAGAAACTATAATAAATTATATAATAAATAATGAATGATATATAAATAATATTGTTAAATAATTTATTTACACATGGCGCCTCATAGGCACGACGGCTTTACTCACACGCAACACGGTTTTACTCACAAACACAACGGACCTCCCCACACGCACGACGGACCTCCCCACACGCACGACGGACCTGCCCACACGCACGACGGACTGCTCACAGGCACGACGGTTTTACTCACGCACGACGCTCTGCTCACAAACACGACGGACCTGCTCACAGGCACGATGGACCTGCTCACAGGCACGACGGAGCTCCCCGGCCCACACGCACGACGATAACAGATAGATGTGTTACAATGGATAATGTAGTAACCAACGCATAATGTATCACCAACCGATAATGTATCACAAATTGACTGATACTGTATCACTAACTCAAAATTTCGCTCAAATAACGACTAATCAGTACAAAAATTCCTTAGCAATCCAGCCATACTTGTGATTGTGGTGCACACTCACCTTGCACGTATACAAAAGAGCAACTTTATTTTCGGTATCATTTGTCATTAATTGCATAATTTTGTACATATTATCACTGTTTTGGGTCAAACAAAATGGCTGGATTGCTACGGAATTTCTTTACAGATCATTAATTTGAGCAAGATGTGTGCAGTAGTTTTGGAGTATTAAGGGGAACTTTCTTTTTTGGTTGAATGTGGTTAGTAGAACATTGAAATATGAAGAGACAAATTATAACCAGAGTGAAAACACAGTACAACAGATATGCAATCACATCGCAAAAAAAAAAATCTTGCAAATATTCTTAAAATTTAGGTCGTGTTCAAACCAGTTACATTTGTTAAATAACACTTGTCATTTGAATTTGTTATGTATATTTGCTGCTAATTCTGACATGTTATTGTATATTAGCAAGGGCCTATGCAGAATTTTCCGGTGGGGCTTTGTAGCATACTCTAAAGCTGTTCATATTTAGTATTTTAACATGTTCACAAGTTAATAGCAAAAAAGTGTTAACAAAAAAAAGATTATATTGCTAACAGTTTTTTTTCCGTGTATTAAATGGCTTATTCAAATAAGCGTATGTCGTAGCACGCAAAAGTATCGATCCTGTATTTTTAACACGCGACGGGAAAATGAGACCGTCATTTTAAAATTTAGTTCCTCCACACGCTGTATGAGCTACATATTCGGGCTCCAAAATAATATAAGCGCATTCACCACTGTTTTTGTCCCTATATCGTCATAATGTTATCGATACAAACGCTTTCAAATATATACTTGGGGATTTACATCGATGTTGCAATACATCCAAAAACACATTGTATGGGACACGAATTTGGAAATCCCATTTCCGCATAGCACGCCTGGGGCCAATTTCACGGCGCTGCTCAGCACAAAAATTTGCTTAGCACAAAAAAAGTCTGGCTTATAAAAGCAGGTTGCCAGCCAAAACTTCGTATGACTTATTATTGCTTGTGATTAGTATTCAACTGTGGTTTGCTTAGCATGAAAATTACCTGTAGTTTTGGCTGGAAACCAGCTTTTATAAGCCAGACTTTTTTTGTGCTTAGCGGCGCCGTGAAATTGGGCCCCGATCTTTGACCCGTCAAGTAGGTCTTACATAATAAAAAGGGATACTGCAGGCGCGGATCGGGTGGGGGGGGGGGGGTCCAGGCGCGGTTCTACGGGGGGGGGGGGGGCTAGGGGGGGCTGTAGCCCCCCAAAAATTGTGTCTAGCCCCCCCCCCCCAAAAAAAAAAAATTAATTCCGTAAAAAAAAATTGCATTAGCAAAAAGAAGGATTGTGATGTACATGCGAACGGTCTCCCCCTAAAGAAGAAATAGCCGTGACAAGGGTGCATTAGTTAATATAGTGTGAATGAGTTTAGTATTTTATTGGCGCTCCCCATTGAAAATATGGCATGAGTCCACCCTCCCCCCCCCCCCCAACTTATTGATTTTCGGAGGCCTAAGAGTCTGGAAAAAAATAACCGGTCAACATTTCAGCACGCCTCCCTGAAAAAAAAATCTGGATCCACCGTGCTAGCCCCCCAAAAATATTTGTTTTAGAACCGCGCCTGGTGTAGGCCCCTATACTTAATTCGCACAGAATATATTTTTTGGTCAAAAAACAATACCACGAATGAATGCTATTAGTATTATTCCACCACTCAGTTCTAAAAGTGTGCAGCCTCGTTTATTTGCAAAGAGGGCATTTCTCATCGGGAAATT